AGTACTATATTGGGATGCAAAGGGATATCTGTTGCTTTTGAAATGGAAATGATAGGAGTGGTTGAAAAGCTGGAGAGTTTGAAAGCCTAAATATTTCCATGGATTAATTCATTTAATTGTAGGGCTTCTGTGAGGCAGTCTATCTCCAAGGCCTGCACACTTAATCTCCACACTGTACTCCTCTAAATTTGGCATTAAGTTTTTGCACCTAAATTTGCAAATAAAGTCTATGGTAAAAGCTGCAACATGGACTAATCCAAACCAAATAACTTATACCAAGCCCCCGTTTCATAGCATTTAATGTCAACTATATAATAACTATGCTTAGGTAAAATGATTGGCAGTTGAGGTCTGGCCTAGGTTCTGAACTGGGATGGGAGGAAGGTAGTCTAATGGCTATCAACAGACAGCTGCAATTGTCTGTGTATAGAAAAGACTTAGAAATACTAATATGAAAAGGGGTTTTCAAGTCCAGAAACAAAGAAGTACGTAAGTACTTATTTTAAACATAAGCAACAACAATCCTGCCATGAGGTTGGGGAGGAGTTAATCAAGTTCCCTTGGTGGGAGACTTTATTGTCTACAGTAGTCTTTCAAAGAATGTGGGGTGGGGGGGTCCTTTGGCCACACTATGTATTTGAATCCTGTAAGAGGTTGATACAATGCTATCAAAGGAAACAAGATGGGGAACAGGGTTCAAAACCTTTATTTATTTATTTATTCAAAATCTTTAATTTTTATTATCAACTAAAGGTTTTTGAAGATATCCTTTAATTATTTCTGTGAAACAGGCTTTTCATGAAAGTACTACGTATAGTCAGACTCCATAAGTAAAATAATAAATGAATGAATGAATGCTTTCCTGAGTTGTCAGCATTATTATCTGAAGCTCTTCGATGTAATTCCACAGAGTCTAAAAACATCAGGGAATAGCCTGAATTGTGGGAATACTAACCTCATAGTCGGCAGGCCTGTCACAGAGCAGGATGTACAAACCAAATGCAGAGACTCTCAAACCACCCAGGTTTTTCTTCTTGTGTGGAGAATAACCTGGATTTTACAAGATCATATTTTAACCATTCATTCTTAGATAGTATTATTGCTAAAAACATTTGATCAAGATTTTTTTGAAAAATAAAGTTCATACAAATATTTGATAATATAACCATTTTTAAGTGATACAAATGGTTATTTTAATGGTTAATAAGTTAGTTTCTATTTATATTTCATTAGTTTCCATAGAGCTATAGCATTTTGAGTTCTCAGTAAGATAGCAAAATGGGTGATCATTTTTCAGCATATAAAATAATTCTATAAACTTTATTTCAGCTTAAATTCAAGGAAAAAATAAAAGGTTTATTTTCTCCACATGGGAAACAAGATGTTAAAAATAACTAGCAATAAGATGATTTATCATGGCAATATTATTAATTTTTGTAAACAGCTTCTGAGAAAAGACATCTGAAAATACCATTTATAGAGTTCTGAATTATACCATTCATAATAGCTTATTAGAGGGAATATTAGCATATCCACGCTATCCTTAAAACAGTTATTCTCTTGGCAAGTTTCTGAGCACAAAATCATACTTGTGTTGTGTTAATATTATCAGCCTCCATCATAAAAAGTGATCCAATTTCTTCTTATGAATACTTACTTGAACATTTTTACATCTGGAAAATACAATCCCTCAAGTAGCTTGCTGTATAATCAGGATTTTAAAGAAGTGCAAATCAGCACTATTCACAATAGCCAAGACAGGGAAACAACCTAAATGTCCATCGACAGAAGAATGGATAAAGATGTGGTACATATATACATGGAATATTACTCAGCCATAAAAAAGAATGAAATAATGCCATTTGCAGCAACATGGATGGACCTGGAGATTATCACACCAAGTGAAGTAAGTTAGAAAGAGAAAGTCACATATCATATGATATCACTTATATGTGGAATCTAAAGTATGATACAAACGAACCCATCTATGAAACAGAAACAGAATCACAGACATAGAGAACAGACTTGTGGTTGCCAAGGGGGAGGGGGCTGGGGGAGAGATGGAGTGGGAGGTTGGGGTTAGAAGATGTAAGTTTTTATATAAAGAATGGATAAACAACAAGGTCCTACTGTATAACACAGAGAACTATATTCAATATCCTATGATAAGCCATAATGGAAAAGAATAAAAAAGAAAAAAAGAAAGAAGTGCAAGTCATATTAATGATGCCCAGCATATCTATGTATGGAAAGTGGTGTTTCTTCTGGTTCTAGCAGAAATTTGGTAAGATGCACTAGATTTTTTTTCATTTTATCTTTCTTTCATTTTATCTCATATTTATTATGTCCTTGATACATATTACAAAACACATGAACCTTGAAAGTATTATGCTAAATTAAAGAAGTCGGCCACAAAAGACCACATATTGTGTAATTCCGTTTATATAAAATCTATAGAGACAGAAAGTATGTGGAGGCTGGGGGGTGGTGGGGAGGATAAGATACGGAGTTTCTTTTTTGAGGTGATTAAAATGTCCTAACATTGATTGTGGTTACACTTACATATATCTGTGAGTATACTAAAAAAAACGAACCACATATTTTTAAAAGGTGAATTGTATGGCATGTGAATTATATCTCAATAAACTGTTTAAAAAGTGAGTCAAGGAGCTTATACATAGCATTGGTACATTGGATTTATTCAGATTCTCCTTTTTCCAAGGGCCTGACCAACTAATTCAATTTAATGAAAATCACAAGGCACCTATCATGTGTAAAATGCTGTGTACCATCATTGCAAGAGATAAAAGATGAAACCGTCTTTACCTTTCAGGAGGTTACAGTGCAGAAAGGGAAATGATGATATAATAATAATGGTGATGATGATGATGATAGGAAGAGGAGGGAAAAGAAGGGATGGCATTCACTGAGTATTTGCTATGTTCCAAGAACTGTGTTAAATGCTTTAAATGTTATTTTGTTTTATTCTCATAGCAACCATAGAGATAGATACTGTTATTTTTCTGATTTTTACCTGAGGAAACAGACACATAAAAGGTGAATTAACTTACATAGGGTCACACATCAAGAAATGGCAGGGTGAGAATTTTAACGTAGTGCTTAGCCAAGAGCCAGCGCTCTTAACAACTTGAGTCCATAGATACACAAAATACATAATACAAGGTGGATTGAGGTGTGTCATGAAAGAGTCAAATAAAAGTGATAGAGTCACCTGAAGAAAGAACACATCTTATTTGCGGCTCAGGAAGGACTAGAAAGAACACATCTTAACTTGCAGCTCTAAAGTACATGGGTATGTTTGAATATTTGACTACAATTTTCATGAGTCATGAAGTAGCTTCAAACCTATATCACAAATTAAATACTTATTTTTTTGGTAAAATAAATATGGTCAAACAGAAAATGACTACAGAATCACAATGTCAAAGGTGAAACTTTCTCAAAATAAATTTATAATAGACAAAGAAACTATCACAAGATATAAAAACAGAACCCCCAATTCTAGTCATTCTCCTTATCTCCAATCTAATCCTTTATTTTCAGCCTGAGATCTTTCAGACTCTTCTTTTTGTGCTTGCAATTACATTCCTAATCTAGATTGTACCGATTTTCCCCCTCTCCTGTCTACTTTCCTATTGACTTTCCCACTGCTTCCCTTCCCACAGTTAGTTGAATATTATGGCTAAAGCTATTCTTATGAATCACATAAAGCACATCACTAATAACAACTTTAGTGCTTTTCACATAAAGGATAAGTTATTTTGCTTTCAGTCTGGAGGCTACATATTAAATGTTCACCTATATCTACTTAGTCTATTGTCCTTTACATATTTCCATACCACTTTTCTCTACCATCATCTATGCTAACATCTAAAGAATAGCATCCCTGTTCTTTATTGAGTTCCCATGAGTGCTTTTAAAATTGCCTTCCTAAAACCTTTACTGGAAGATTGTTTTGGCCATAATCAGAGGAATAATGAAGTAATTTTACTTCCTAGACAGTCAGCATTGCTGATAAGTATGAAACATGCCAGACCACCCTCTTCTTCAGTCATTACATAAAAAACAATGTTATTTTATTAAATAACATTTACTTCTGCTATGGCATAAGTGATCACCTCTGAATCATTCTGCTGACTACACAAAGATGTGATAGAAAATACGTGAATTATTTTATGTAAATAATGAAACAGACATTCTAGAGTTCTATGTTACTATTTAGAGTAGGATAGGTGATTGCTGTGGTAATAAAAAAGACCCAAAATCTCAGTAGCTTAACACATAACAGTTTATTTCTCACACTCAGAACATCCACTGTAAGTCCATCAGCTCTCCAGGGCAGGTCCCTTACAAATAGCGACTTAGAGATACAGGTTGCATCCATCTTGTAGGTACACTATTTGGAGGACACTGCTTTCAGGTCCTCATGGCAGGTAAAGAGAGCTGGAGGGTCACGCAGGACTTTTTACTGCTCCGGTATTGAAACGACACATCACTTCTGTTTACAATCTCTCTGTAATCCCTCTGCTAGAAGTAATAAATGGCATTGCCTAACTACAAGGGGCTGGGAAGTGAATGGGGGCACATAGATATTTGATAGCTGTTAATGTCTTTGCCACATTCTACAAATAATATAAGCTTTTTTTCATATTTTAATGAAAAACAATTTTTGAAAAACTCTATATGGATAGAAAATATCTCTTAAATGCAATAGTTTTTATCAGCATATAGACATATATTTTAGGAAACAGCTAAAGTTATGAAGCTTCAATGTGACCTAACAAGGCATTACATTTACCATGGTCCAAGAATGTTACTGAGAGATTCCGGGGTATGCACTGCAAAAGTTTGGGGACCCAGTATGTTATTTATCTACCAGATGTTTTCTATCTTTATAATAATTTTACTTGTGATTCAAGGGAGCTGACATGAAATCAGCTATTTAAAAAAATAGCTATTTATTCTCTCCTCATGCTAAAATACTTTGTACATATGACATTACAATTAGCACATCCTCTGTAACAGGTGCTTTTGTTAGACATCAATTTATAATTCATATTACTCTGATATAAAAAATGTAGAGTAAAAATAAATTTCAACTTATTTCAGCATAGTGGCAAACGTGATTCAGCAACAAACACAAGGCAACAAACTCCAAATGTTAGTAAAATGTGAAACAGAAAGATTATAATCTCCTAAATTTAACTCCTATTTTAATTCAATATTAATGCTTAAGACAAGAAATTTCTAAACAGCATAGTTGCTAAGATTTTGGCAGTAGTTTTATGTAACAAGACATACAGCGTACTAAAGGTCTGGCACTCAACTTGCTTACAGTAAACCAGCTTCAATATGAAGGCATTAAATATTTTTTAAAAACCTTCTTTTTACATGCTAAATATTTTGGCAAGTGTGCAATTAAACACAGTCATGAAATTAAGATAGTAAGATTAAGAAATTACAAACTTGAAACTTGTATCCTAAGCATAAATCATATAAAAAAGGATTACTGGTTATATAGAATATCTCTGGATAATCAAAACTTAATAGTATATAGCATGCAAAATATTTCAGAATCTTTATTAATCAAAAAATACCAGGGTCTATTTAAAATTATTCCCCTCCAAAGGGTATCAAAGTTAATTCAAATCGTGTAACACTCTAACACTAAATATTATTCAGTACTGTCGAAATGGAGGTAAATTTCATAAAACTGGGGCCTTACATATACTGTAAATTGCTGTCTTTCTTTTTCATGTGAAACAGCATATATTACTAAGTAATAAAAGAATGGCTGCTGCACTGGCAAAAATAGGATGTGTAAGGATCAAAGGCACACTATTCAGCTCGCCAAAGTGAGAGCAAACTCTTTTTCCCCCACAAACCCTTTCCCCATGTAAACAAAATTTCATTAAGGAGAAAAGAAAACTAAACTAAACTTTTCATCTTCAAAAGTAAGTATTTTGAGACAATGTTAAGTCCATGCTTCAAAAATGTCAGCTATTGTCGCCTGGATATTTCTGATTATATTTTAAAGATGTAGCCAAATTCGATACTTTTAACATTAGATCCACTGTTTGGTCAAAATTATTTACCATCTAAAACATTTTACTTTAATTCCAAACATTTTAACCACTACTATAACAACACAGTTTTGCTCTCAGAAGAATTAGCCAGTGGAGGGAAAAACACACAAAAAAACCCAAAATCCTACATTTAAGCTGCAGGCAACAATTATGGCCCTTTCTGGCACAGTAGCATTTGACTGGCAACTCAAAGTCCAGGAATAATTCTACTAACACAGGGAAACTCATGCATTTTTGTAAATATGCCCTAACATTCACAGCTGAATTTCCTTTACACTTGCTTTTTTCAATAGGGAAATCTTGCTTTTTTTCTTGATATTATCCGGACTTGTGACTTGAACCTGACTTCTTTTTCTTCTTCTTACTATGTTTTTTGTGCTGTTTCTTCTTCTTCTTCTTTGCTTTTTCCTTTGCTTTTTCTCGCTCTTCATGTCTTCTCTTCTTTTTTGCTTGTACCTCCTCTTCATAATCTGATTCTGATGAGGACTCTGATGATAAAGGTTTATCCTCAGGACAAGTCTTCTTTCTTTTTTTGCTGAGACTTCTAATATACTTTTCTTTGTCTGTTTCATCCTTTGACTTCTTTTTCTTTTTTACAGATTCTTTGCTCTCTGATTCAGATTCACATGTAGAGCTTTCTGATGATTTGTATGAACAGTTCTTCTTTTTCTTGCTCTTTTTTCCTTGTTTCTTTTCCTCATCCTCAGAATCGGAAGAACTGCTTGAAGAATCAGAGCTTGATGTAGAAGAAGATGAAGACTGACAAGATTTCTTCTTTTTCTTTTTCTTTCTTTCTCTTTTTTTGGATGAGCTCTCATTTCCACTTAATAATTTCTCTCTGCTTTTTTCTAGTTCCTTCTTCCAATTCTCATTCATTTTTTCTTCAAATTCAGCTAATGCCTTGGAGCCTTTCTTTTTATTTTCTAATTGTTTCTTCACTTCTTCCCAGGTGGGCCTTGGTCGATTCAGATAATCTTGTATTGTGGGGCCTGCAGATTGAGATGGGCCCCTCCATCTGGCCATTGCTATAGGATTCATATAGGCCACCCGATTGTCCCGCTTTCCCATGGTGCCTGATGGTTTCCAGAGCCGACTCTCAGTTGCTAAAGAGAATAAAGATAGACATCCTCCTTAAATTCTTCATCTGCTAGTATACCAAGTGGGCTCCATTCTGTGAGAGAAGCAGATGCAATGATTACAAAACACCTTTAATATAAGACAAAGTAAGCACATAAGTTTAATTGGTCACTGTCTATCACATAGTACAGTAGAAAAATTTCCAAAATCTTAGACCTTGAGAAAAAAGAATATACACACAAGATTTTTGCATGTTTTAGACGTTGTGGTATGAATATAACATAAAGTGTTTTTTATATCTCATGTAAGGTTCTGTTATCTAAATTTTTTAAATAACTATTTCCTTTTATATTGTATGATAATTACCTTTTTCTTTCTTTCTGCCTTATATGGTATAAAGAGAGAGAGGAATTTCTATAGCTAAATTCTATACCAGGCAGACCTTCTCCATTTTAGTAGAGTGCAGCACAATCCACTCCACTCTTTGATAGAAACCTAGGAGTCATACCTGAAAAATCCTTCTCCCTCAATTCTCACATCCAATTCATACTAAATCCTGCTGTTTAAACCCCCACAACAATAGGTCTCACGTCCATTCACTTTTCTCCAAATATATTGTCATCAACATAGTCCAGGTACTGTCATTTTTCATTTGGACTATTAATCTCTAGTATCTATTGTTTATTATCTGCCAGGGACTGCTTAGTGTTGTGCAGTGGATTATCTCATTCAGCCTCCAGACTAACCCTACGAAGTTGATCCTATTATTATCCCTGTTACACAGATGAAGAAACTGAGGCTTAGAGAATTTGAGTAATGAGTACTTGCATAAAGTAACATAAAAAATGGCAAACGGCAAAACCAGGATTTAAATCAAGGCAGCCTGACGCCAAACCCTGCACACCTAACACAACATTATATTGCCTCCTTATATCAACCTCTTATTTATTTATTTATTTATTTATTTATGGCTGTGTTGGGTCTTCGTTGCTGTGCGCAGGCTTTCTCTAGTTGCGGAGAGTGAGGGCTACTCTTTGCTGCAGTGTGCGGGCTTCTCATTGCGGTGGCTTCTCTTCTTGCACGGCATAGGCTCTATGTGTGTGGGCTTCAGTAGTTGTGGCTCGTGGGCTCTAGAGCGCAGGCTCAGTAGTTGTGGCGCATGGGCTTAGTTGCTCTGCGGCATGTGGGATCTTCCCAGACCAGGGATCGAACCTGTGTCCCCTGCATTGGCAGGCGGATTCTTAACCACTGAGCCACCAGAGAAGTCCCTCAACCTCTTAATTGACAGCCCTATATTTACTCTTACTCTCTTCCATTCCAGTCCCACACTGAAATCAGAAGGATCTTAAAATACTCCAATGGCTTTACATTTTAATGAGAATTAGATCCACACTCCTATAAAGATCCTGCATGATCTGTCTTGCTTATCGCTCTTACACTTCATTGAGAGTTATTCACTTCTTTTCTCAATTCTGTCTTTTCCAATCTTCTCTTGGTTTCTGGAACATGTTAAGCTCCAAGCTTAGCCACCATGGCCAGTTCCACCTCATCTTCATGCCTCAGTTTAGAGGTCAATTCCTCAGAAAGGAAATTATTAGGTGGAACTATATAAAATCACCAATTATACAGAAAAAAAGTCAAATACTAGTAATTTCACATGGCTCAACCTTATATTATGTTGCCTCTGTATCTATCCCTTATAGTCATTATTCTGCATCACAGTTCCTTGTTTCTTTTATTCGTAGCACTTAGAAAATTGAGGATTATTTTTTTTATTTGACTATTTGGATGTGTGTGTTTGTGTGTGTGTGTGTATGCATGTGTGTATTCATTGCTAAATATAAGGCTAAGAAGGGTAAAGGTCATGTTTGATCTGTCTTATCACCATGGTGTTCCCAGTACCTAACATGGCATCAGGCCCACACTAAGTACTCAATAAATATTTGCTCAATAATAAACAAACTAATGAATGGATTGATGCAGGGGTAACTCTGTGAGAGAGGGGCATTCACAGAAGCCTCCTGTAGTTGGTGATGTCAGTACAGGATTTTGAAGGATAAATAGGAGTTCACCCGGGAAATGAGGAAATGATAGACATTCCCCAGGCAGAAGAAACAATATGTGAAAAAACAGAGAAATCTGAAAGAGCACCATGTATTTAGTGTTGATGGAGCCTAAAGTGCAAGAGGGTAGCAGCAGGAGGTAAGGCTGCATAGGAAGTAAATAGCCTGATCCTAGAGGCTTTCTTAGGTTATTTTAACATCTTGGATTTTGTCCTATACTTGTTAGGAAGCCAGCAAAGTCTGAAGAGAAAGATAATCAGACATATCACAGATTTTTCTGTCAGTCTCCATCTTGACTTTGACCCTTTAAGTCACCCTAACATACCTACCCATCACAAGCTCAACGCCACAGACTTTACGGTGACTCTTGGTGATAGTTTCTTGGGTTTGATTTGTTGTGTTATCTTATTCTCCTTCCTCTTCAGTTCTGCCCAGCTCCTCTTAGGTATTTTTGTCATTTTCATTCTTACTGCTACCCAAAGGACTATGGTCATGAATTTCATGTGAGCAACTTTTAAACATTAAAATTTGAGGAAAAATCCTAAATATCCATCAATAACAAACAGGTTATATCAATTATAGTATATGTATACAATGGAATACTACATCCACAACATACTGTTGAGTGAAAAGTTCACCAAATGTAAACACTTGTTATCTCTGCATGTGGAGAGGCATTATTTCCTTTTGTAAGTTTCCCTATACTATTTATATTTTTTACATTGAGCAGGTATTATCTTTAACTTTAAAAAATCCAGAATAGTGCTTCCCTGGTGGTGCAGTGGTTGAGAGTCCACCTGCCGATGCAGGGGACACAGGTTAGTGCCCCAGTCCAGGAAGACCCCACATGCCGCAGAGCGGCTGGGCCCGTGAGCCATGGCCACTGAGCCTGCATGTCTGGAGCCTGTGCTCCGCGGCGGGAGAGGCCACAACAGTGAGAAGCCTGCGTACTGCAAAAAAAAAAAAAAAAAGTCCAGAATAAAAGGTGTTATGGACAACAATATTAAATGCAACAGATAGGTCAAGTAAGATAAAATCTGAAAATATCTATTATATTTGGCTATAAAGAAATCATTAGTAACCTTTGCTAATGCAATTTTAATTAATTAGGGCAGAAGCCAGATGACAGTGGGTTAAAGACTAAATGGGAGGTGAGAAAGTAGGGACATAGGGTACATAGACTCACTTGAGAAGGAAAGTAAAGTGATAAGAGGGCAACTATAATGAGGGATGAAGAATTTTTAAAAAATGATGTTTTACTGTTGTTTGTTTTTATCAAAGAAGAAACTTGAACATGTTGAGAGGGTGACAAGGTAAAATAGAAAGACTTTTAAGAAGACAGGAAAGAGGGAGGAGCTTCAAGATGGTGGAAGAGTAAGACACGGAGATCACCTTCCTCCCCACAGATACACCAGAAATACATCTACAGGTGGAACAACTCCTACAGAACACCTACTGAACGCTGGCAGAAGACCGCAGACCACCCAAAAGGCAAGAAACTCCCCACGTACCTGGGTAGGGCAAAAAAAGAAAAACAAAAAACAGAGACAAAAGAATAGGGATGGGACCTGCACCAGTGGGAGGGAGCTGTGAAGGAGGAAAGGTTTCCACACATTAGGAAGCCCTTTCGCGGGCAGAGACTGCGGGTGGCGGAGGGGTGAAGCTTCAGAGCCACGGAGGAGAGCGCAGCCACAGGGGTGCGGAGGGCAAAGCGGAGAGATTCCCGCACAGAGGATTGGTGCCGACTGGCACTCACCAGCCTGAGAGGCTTGTCTGCTCACCCACCAGGGCAGGCGGGGCTGGGAGCTGAGGCTTGGGCTTCGGTCGGAGCGCTGGGAGAGGACTGGGGTTGGCGGCGTGAACACAGCCTGCAGGGGGTTAGTGCACCACGGCTAGCCAGGAGGGAGTCAGGGAAAAGGTCTGGAGCAGCCGAAGAGACAAGAGACTTTTTCTTGCCTCTTTGTTTCCTGGTGAACGAGGAGAGGGGATTAAGAGCGCCACTTACAGGAGCTCCAGAGACGGGCGCGAGACGTGGCTATCAGTGCAGACCCCAGAGACGGGCATGAGACACTGAGGCTGCTGCTGCCGCCACCAAGAAGCTTGGGTGCGAGCACAGGTCACTCTCCACACATCCCCTCCCAGGAGCCTGTGCAGCCCGCCACTGCCATGGTCCCGTGATCCAGGGACAACTTGCTGGGAGAACGCACGGCGTGCCTCAGGCTGGTGCAACGTCATGTTGGCCTCTGCTGCCACAGGCTCTCCCTGAATCTGTACCCCTCCCTCCCCCACGGCCCGACAGAGACAGAGACCCCGAATCAGCGGCTCGTTTAAGCCCGACCTGTCTGAGTGAGGAACAGACGCCCTCAGGTGACCTACACACAGAAGTGGATCCAAATCCAAAGCTGAACACCGGGAGCTGTGCGAACAAAGAAGAGAAAGGGAAATTTCTCCCAGCAGCCTCAGGAGCAGCGGATTAAAGCTCCACAATCAACTTGATGTACCCTGCATCTGTGGAATACCTGAAGAGACAACAAATCATCCCAAATTGAGGAGGTGGACTTTGGGAGCAACGATATATATATATATTTTTCCCTTTTTCTCTATTTGTGACTGTGTATGTGAATGCTGCTCTGTGTGATTTTGTCTGTATAGCATTGCTTTTACCATTTGTCCTAGGGTTCTGTCTGTCCATTTTTTAAATTATTACTTAAAAATTGTTTTCTTAATAATTATTTTTTAACTTTTATTTTAATAACCTTTAAACTTTATTTTATTTTATTTTATCTTCTTTCTTTCTTTTCTTTCTCCCTTTTATTCTGAGCCATGTGGAGGACAGGCTCTTGGTGCTCCAGCCAGGTGTGAGGGCTGTGCCACTGAGGCGGGAGAGCCAAGTTCAGGACACTGGTCCAGAAAAGACCTCCCAGCTCCACGAAATATCAAAAGGTGAAAATCTCCCAGAGCTCTCCATCTCAACACCAAGACCCAGCTTCACCCAAAGACCAGCAAGTTACAGTGCTGGACACCCTATGCC